TAGATGTGCAGGTGAATTTTTAAAAAGCCATTCTGGCTAAAATTTGAGCACCCACCAATGGGCTCAGGTCAGTGTGGTTGGTGAAACTTTCCTATGTAGATATAATCTTCAATCCTTTTACCCTTTTGCAACCCTCTTCATTAACAACAGCTCCCAATACTTAATATTGTCATTTAAAATGGCATAATTAAGCTATAGAGTTAATGTTCTAGTGAGAAAAGAGATCTCATTTATCAGGGCTACTACTGAAAACTCTATTCACAGCAAAAACAAGAAGCAGTCTGGTGGCACCTTAAAGACTAAGGATTTTATTATGGCATTAGCTTTCATGAGTTGCAACTCACTTCATCAGATACATGAAGTGAAAGACACAAAGATGGGAATCTAACATCAGGGTGAATGTGGAATCCAAGGTAAGAATACCTAACGGGGAAAATTACTTAATGTAATGAGAAAGCCATTCCAAGTCCCTATTCAGACCCATTCTGATGGTGTCAAATTTGCATATGAATTCCAGCTCAGCAGTTTCACACTGCAGTATGTTTTTGAAGTATTTTTCTTGGGAAAGTGTGTCCAGGGGTATTAAAAATGTTCTCCCACTGGTTTTTGTATGTTACCTTTCTTCATGTCTGATTTGTGTCCATTTATTCTTTTCTGTAGAGACAATCCGGTCAGTTCAATGTACATGGCAGAGGGGAATTGCTGGCCCATGGTGGCATGTATCACATTAGTAGATGAATGAGCCTTTGATGGAATGGCCAATGTGGTTAGGTCCTATGATGGTGTCACTACCAGGTTAGGTCCTATGATGGTATTGGCAATGGGATTTATTTCAGGGATTGGTTCCTGGGTTAGTGTTTCTATTGTGCTAGTATTTATTTCAGGTTGGGGGGCTATCTGTAAGCAAGGACTGGCCTGCCTCCGAAGGTCTGTGAGAGTGAAGGATTGTCATCTAGGATAGGTTGTAGATCCTTGATAATGTGTGTAGAGGTTTTAGTTGGGGGCTGTAGGTAACGGGCAGTGGTGTTCTGTTGCTTTCTTTGTTGTGTCTGTCCTGTATTAGGTGACTTCTGGGTACCCCCTAACTTTGTCAATCTCTTTCTTCATTTTCCCAGGTGAGCCTTATAGTTTTAAGAATGCTTGATAGAGATCGTGTAGGTGTTTGTATCATTGTGCTGTTCAGTAAACAGTCCCCTAAAAGAATCCCCCATTTCTTATTTGTGGACCAGCCTTCACATTCAATCTCAACTTTTTCTGCTCAGTGCTGCATTCCTTGTAGAAAGGTAATTTGTGATTTCACCAAGTATTACCCAGTTCTCATGCACAAGTCTACAAAGAATGCAGAATGTCCATGTGTGGTTTTATCACCCAGATCGTTTTGCAGGAGGTTGTAAATAGCAAAGGAAGTAGAGTAAGGCTTCTTGCTCAGTGATGATTATTAAGAATTCAAGTGCTGGGACCTTGACTATCATTCCTGTGTTTATGTATAATCCCATACTATTGAAAAGTAGATTTAATTAATATATTACAGTTCAATTAATATATTACAGAAATCTAATAAACAGACGCTCGCTGCTGAAGTATGGTACCATACATTGAACTTGAGGGTTTGCAGGACTAAAAAGTTTAAAAAAATATTATGATAAAAGGAATTTGGGAATAATTAGGGCTACCATATATGTAGGCTTTCCTGAATATGGCCTCTTTTTTTTTTATCCTCTAATATCCAGCTGAGCAGATTTTTGAAATATGAACAAATGCCTGAGATTTTAACTTGGTCATCCTTTTCCCTTCATCGATTCTAGGAGAACTGTGATTTGGGTGTGCCATAATAGTGACATATGTGTTTATTGGTTTGCCACCTTTACAATGCAAGCATCATTGCCAGCAGCAGTGTAGCGGTAACCATGGCATGTTATTGACTGTTGAGTTGCTGAAATGGATCCTCCTAATACAGTACAACATCAGGCACATGTCTTGCAAGACTTTCATTGCTGCTTGATGATCACTCAGCAGCTGCTGATAGCTACAGAGAACTATGCCTGGGTACAACAGAAAGAAGTGCAGTAGGAAAGGACTGACTTCATGTGAAAAGGTACAGCTAAATATGAGCTACATTTATTTTGGAAACCATTACATTTGTTATTCATAAATGTTAGCTAACCAAAGGAGAAAGAAATTGTACAGTAGAAATGATTGCCCCCGATTCCATCCAGCTCTTCCTCTCCATGGCAGCATCCTCTGTTTGAGACCTTGAAATATGGTAAGTCAGAATAATATTTACATTTTATTTTATCAACCTCCTACCCAAGTCATAAATCCTGTTACTGGAATAATCACTACTCTAAGCAGTCTAGTCCAGTTCTGAGCGCCAACTTGCAAAGCCCACTTTTCGCCACCTTATTCTCCATGTTCTAGAGATGTCAATATTGTAATGGCCCTTGTTACGGCTTGACTGATTTAATGTATTAGAGTAATTGGTTTTAGGGGTCACCTCCATCACAGGTGAAAACAAAGAGACTCCATTACATGTGTGGCTGGCACAATCTGTATTGCCCTGCTTTCCTTTTTGTGCAATTAGCAGACAGAGACACTAACCAATTAACATGTCTCAAAAATTGGTCTCTGCCCTGGAATGAAAGGCAAGACTGCAGCCAGCAGCTTCCCTAGGAGGGTGTGGGGCCACCCAGTCCTCCCCAGATCCCTCCCTGCCTCTTCCTAGCCCTGCTCAGCTCCCACCCTGCCCCCACTCTGCCCTTTCCCCTAAGCCCCAGCCCTGCTCCATCCCATCCCACCTTATTCCACCCTGGTTCTATCCCCATTCCGCCACTTTCCCCAAGCTCTTCCCCATGTGATGCGGCCTAGCGAATAAGCAGGGAGCCTGATGCCAGCAGCAGAGATTGCCCCAGCACTCACCTGCAGTGGCATGAGGCAGAGTGTCCCAGCCCCAGCCTGCTCCACTCTGCCAGCTCTCAGCCTCTTTCCTCCATTTCTGGCTGCCAGTGGGTACAGGGACTGGTCCCATCCCTTTCCGTGAAACCTCTTCCCTCAGTGTTGTGGCTGGGAGCCATGGAAGTGGGGCAGGCTGGGGTCAGGTTGCTCTGCTTCCTGCCATCACTGGTGAGTGTGGGGACAGGCCTGATCTCTGCTGTGGGCACCAGGTCCTCCACTAATCCCCTGGGTCACTCTGGGCCCCATGGGAGCCTCTAGAACGCAGGACCCAGAACGGTTGTTCTGAACCATCCAATGGATGGGCTGGCTCTGGTGGTGACAATTGCTCATTTGCTTTTTGCTGTGGGGGCAGGGGCAGAGCCAAACAGCCTCAGCAGGAGCACCTTGTCAGTCAGAGCTCTCTAATGTCACCATACGCAGGGATGGAAGGACTTTCCCCCAGGTCAGATTGGCAGCAACCCTGAGGGATTTTTTTGTCCTTCCTCTGCAGCATGCAGCTACCAGTCACTTGCAAGGGTGATCTGAGTATATTTCATGTAATCAGTGCCCTGCCACTGCAAGGTCCTCAAGCACTGTCACACCTTGGTCCCTCCTATTGGCTGCCTGTGGCCCATAAAAGCTTAATCTCCTGTGGGCTGCACTACTTCAGTCTAAGTACTTTCTTCTACTCTGATTTTGGTTGTTGGGTTTGGTGTGTCAGGTGATGGCGGCCTGTGATATACAGAAGATCCGAGTAGATGATCTGATGGTCCCTGCTGGCTTTACACTCTCTGACCCTTCCCACCTCCTGTAGGGTAGCTGGTGCCTGTAGGGATGCTAGAAGGGAACAGTCCCAGTGCTCAGAAAGCAGAAATTCTGTGGCAGTTCCTAGCTTGCTGTGCCCTGCCGCCGCAGTCTCGTGCGCCAGTTGGGCACAACCTGATCTTAGGAGGATGCTGTCCACTCAGAGTACTTGCAGAACACCTAGCATGTTTGGGAGCTGTGCCTCTTTCAATAGCATTTTGCTGAAAACACTTGCAAAGACAACACAACACCTCTGGGTAATACCCATTTGTTTTATTGCAGTTGGAGCCATCCCTCCATAAGACAATTTGGGTGGCCACCCCCACTCCACACTTTGGTGGGCCCCACAGAAGCCTCCTGAACTGTTCTGGACCAGGACATGTACCATGCTACTTGTGGGGCAGATATTGGATGGACTAATCATCTATATAGCTGAACATGGCCACCAGTAGCTGATTCTTTTAAAAAGGAAAAGGATACCCAGTTGTAAACATTCATAGACTGTTGATCAGAAGGAACCATTAAATCATCTAGTTTGACTTCCTGAATAACACAAGTTATAGCATTTCATCTAGTTACTACTACATTGTGCCCAGTTACGTGTGTTGGCAAAAGCCTATCTGCAAGAAAAAAAAACACACCAAGAGATAGGGAATTCACCTCTTCCCCTGATAGTTTGTTCCAATAACTAAGCACCCACACTGTTAAAAGTGTATGCCTTGTTTCTAACTCTAATTTGTCAGGCTTTAAATTCCTGCCAAAGGGGTCTTGTCATGCCTTTCTCTACCAAGACATTAAAGAATCCTAAAGGTTTCCATGTTAGTTGCAGATACAGCATCCAAAGAAACCTCCTTGGAATGTTTTCAGGCTCAAACTAATTTAGTGACTATTTTAGGCCTGTTAGAAATGGGCCTAAACTGAAAAGATCTAGGTTTGGGTTGGATTTCTAAACAGCTCTTTAGTTATTGGTAGACTGATTTTTGAGAAGTTCACATGTAGGTTTGAATTGGAATTTTTCAGTCTAACTGAAAATCAGGGGGTGAGAACCTATGGCTTTTGTTGATTACAGTGCCTCTGAAAATTAAATTCTCAGTTGAAATGGCTACAATTTGATCCAATTTTCTACAACATGGAGAGGATTTTGTGTGAAAGTATGATCTGAAGGATCACATGCTCCTCCAAGTGAATAATGTTTCTCCATTTTATTCATGTGAGAGTTATTTTTAACAGCTGTAAGACATATAAATGATCAGGGACATAGAGAATTTATACTTATTGAAACATTTATTTGTTTTGTCTGTAATATTTATAAGGGGTCTTCGTTGTACTGCAAACCTTCATCATTTTCAGTTTCAGAGTCTTCCTCTCATGGATCCAGAGACAGGCAGGACCAAAGAGACTTTATCTATGAGGAAACTAACAATTATGAAGAGTCAATATGTGTAACTGCTGCTTCTGATAGGAATATGGTAAGTATTTTCCACCCAAAATATCAAAAGAACTGAAAAGTTTTCAAGTTTTTTTTCTAAATGTTTTGCTGAAATGTTTCAGTTTTTTCATGTAGTTCCATGTTCAAATAAATACGAATTTCACGGACATTTGACTTTTGGGTGGGGAAAAAAGCTATTTTTGCAATGTTTAAACTGGAATTTTTTAACCAGCTCTGTAATGAAAAGGAAGCTAGCCATTTCACATGAAATATTTTGTACGGGTTACTTGGCACAGGTATAATTATTCTGTGGTGGAGGTTCAGTCAAAATGCAGATTTAACTTCAGCTGAAAGAATTATTGTTTAGATAGATGAGAAAAATGTAGCTAATCAGATACTGGTTTGATTTTAATAGAAAATAGTTGCAATGCATTGCATTGCAGAGAAATAAGCTCTCACTGAGTTCAAAATAAATGACACAGCAGTAGCAGATGATCTAAGTTTTCCCAGCTAATCATATCAAAGCAAAGTAAAAATGAGAATCAGACAGATACAAAACTTACAAGTTCCTTCTTTGCTGTTAGCACATGAATCTAGGAGCCATAACTGTCACACTCAGACTGCCTAAATGGAGAAGAAATGTTTTGTAGTTTAAAAGGGGACACTGAAGTAAGAACGCCTGGGATTTATCTCTGATTCTTCCTCTAACAATATATAAGAACATGGGGAATGTATTCAATTTACCTGTGCTCCAATTTACTCATCGAGCAATAGGTGTAATACTATGCACATGATGAGTACGATGATGATTGATTAATCAGTGCAGCCTTTTTAACACATTAGATCAATATGCCATGTGATAAGGGTATCTTACTGGTCATTATTTATTGTTAGAAGTTTTATTTGACATCGCATGGGTCCTTAACTCAATTAATGTTTGCTTTTTGGAAAAAAAATGAAAATGTACACGCTTTACTTCAATCATTGCTCTGGGGTGGGGCTAGGATGAGGGGTTCAGTATGCAGCCTGCCCTGGGGACGGAGGACTGCCCCAGCCCTCTCTCACTGCTGCAGCTTGGGGCCAGGTGAGAAGCACCTCTCCATGGCTGCTGCAGCTCCAGTGGGTACAGCTGGAGGAAGAGATGCATGTACCCCGGCTGAGGCAGGTCCAGTTTCATCTGCCCCCTGCATCCCCTAGCTAGAGTGAGGAATGAAGCAATTTGTGCACTTTCCCCCCTCTCCCTAATGAAGGGAACAACTAGCAATGTTCCCATACAAATCGGGAAGAGGAGGAGGAAGCTTCAGCCCTCCCTTACTCCATAAAGTGTGCTTGGGGAATGGAAGACTTGGGGCTGGGATAGTCCCAGGCGTGGTGATGCATCTCCAGCCATCCCCTTTCATCTGTCTGGTGATTCTGTCCCTTTTCTGTATGCTGTTTTGAGAAGCAATCCCATTCCAGGCATTTTCCCTTTTCCTGGCACAACCAAACCCAGACCTTGCTTTAAGTTAGGATAAGAGAAAGCTGCATACCGAATTTGGTGGTCTAGCTGTTTTCATTTAGGAGGAGTTCTTGGTCAAACGGACAGACAGATAGACAAATTCTCTCAAATATGTAGGAGATTACTGCATACATTAAGATGAAAGGTCCTACAATATACTCTGTCATTCCCAAAGCATAGCCATATGCTTAAATACTTAAGTGAATTGGGGATTATGTGGCTTGATTTTCAGAAGTTCAGCTGTGCTTTGGTAGAGTTGCATCTGCCATCTAGACTTATAACTCAGCTTTCACAGCCTTTAATTGGGGAGCGAGGCTATCTCAGAGCACATGGCAGTCACAAATTTCTGTTTGTTTGTTTAACACAGTTTCTATGTTTTTCTGCAGGCGGCAACAGAGGTTACAGAAATAAGAAATTTAAAAAAAACAAATATTCTCCTTCCATTTCCCCACCAGTTGTGCTTTATTCTCCTAACTTCCCAGCCTTTGGCAATCAGATTCTACCTTAGTTGGCATTGGTACTCCCAACTCCTGATAACCAGTTTTTATTCCACTTGCTTTGAATATTGCTGCTCTGATGGTGATTGACAGGGATGCAACCAAAGCCTGCTGAGGTGTAATTGAAATATAAACTTGCTGCTAGATGTTGGAACTACAAAAGCCAGTGGTGGTATGAGCTCTGGAGGATATGAGTAGAAGGACAGTGACTGCCAAACACTGATTAATCCAGAACCATTATTTTCCCTTAAAAATCATAGGGATTTCCGTGTCAGCTTGGATAATTTTTTTCGGCCTAGTTCATAAAAAATCTCAAGAATGATGAATTTAACTAATTGGTATGGCTTATTTAGTTATATCTGTGTGGTTGTTTAGCATCCCAGGACTGATGATGGCGGGGGTGGGGAGGAGGTAAAGGGGGCAGTTGTCCTGTAGCCTGACAATTTAAAAGAGTTTATGGCTCCAGGCCCTTTAAATTGCTGCAGGAGCTCTGCGCACTATGCTGTGGGCAACACTGAGATCTGGCTGCTCCCTTCCACACAATATACACACGTTGCCCAGGGGCCCAACAAAGCCTGTAGTCAGCCTGGCTAGATAGAAATACAAGGTAAGACATTCAGATACACAAATCATCCTGGATGTACTAATGAGGCTGTGAAGAGCCTTGATGTATGTTAGAGTAGGCTGTTCTGATACGCTTGCTATTGTCTATTGTTTGCCAAAATGTATTCATGTTAATACAGTTCAGAAAGAAGAAAACTATTTGGCAATCATGCTCTAGAGAGTAAAATAATACTCTACAGTATAAATTACAGGCTGCCTCCAAATTTACTGTCAATCAAGTTGGCAACAGCATTGTGAATATGATAAATAGATGTAGAATTGCTGGGGGAGCTTGCATTTTTTCCATAGGACTGTTGACTTATTGGTGGTGTAGAGATGGGTGATGGTTGTGTTCCTCTTCACTTTCTCATGGCTGGTTGCAGAAGTTGAAGGCTGACAAGGTTTCAGGAATATAACGCAAGACTGGGGTTTTACCATACAGTTTTGGATAGCAGTCTGAAAGAAAGAATTCACAAATTTAGTTTTCCTCTGACTGAAATTTTCCCTCCTCTAGTTTCCCACCAATGTGGTTCAATTATCAAGAATTTTTAACCTGAAGAGGAAAAGTTTCTTATGCAAGAGTTCTGTAGAATGCAATAGGGTTCCACAGAAAGTTATCTGAAAGCCTAAGAATTAAAAAGATTGGTGTCCATGCTATAGGTTCTTTTGCACCATTGTATAGAATCCTCTGTCAGGGATATAAATCTTCTATTAAACTGTGTAAGATGAGTTAGATATAAAATTCTGTAGAGAAGAAATCATGGTTTAATATATTATATAAGACTTTTCTATTAAGGTAGTTATTTATGAGATATAAAAGAATTTCCTCTTTGTTAATAAAAAGGAAATCCTTATTGCTGTGTACTCAGTTAAAGGAGTTTCAAATGCAGGTAAATGCTATGGTGATGTGTAGTCAAGCCTTTTAATTAACAAGTGTGTAAGTTTATTTACATATGAGGCTTAAATCTATTGTTACCAAAGTGGTTTTCAGCATGGCAATATCTGGGCATCCCAGTCCTGAATGGGCTCTAATAGATGTATGTTTATTTTAGACTTAAATAGCTTCAGGTTTAGTGATTTCACAGTCTCCCTTAGTAGCTTATAAAATTTTTACTTATGATGCTCAACCTAATTTTTCCCTGTTGATCTATTCTCATTGCTGAGAAAAAACTAATCTTAGTCCCTTCTAAAACATCCTTTGATACATTAGTAAAGAGTTAATCTCTCCCTTCAATCTTTCTGTTGCCACCTAAAAATGCTGAGTCCTTTCCCTCAAAGTACCCATGTGCTGTGCCTTTTTTCATGTTTGTTACTCTGCTCTGAGTGCTCTCTCATGTGTTTCTTTTAACGTGAAGTACCCGGAAATGATTGCAATAGTCTGATAGCAAACCAATCAGTACCAAGAAGAGCAACTAATTACCATCCTTGTTTTATATGTGGTACTCCACTTGTTACAACACATATAGCATTTCTCTTCTCTTGTAACAATGTTGTGGTGTCTATTTATTCAGGTAAACAGCCACTCTGAGCCATAGAGGCTTTTCATCTTCTAATCAGCTTCATATAACACACAATTTTATATTAAATATCTATTATGGACCCTGGGTAATAAAATGACTTCTCTCTTGGAACCTGACAGAACAAGATTTTCAAACATAGGTACCTAAAGTTACATTTAGGCACTAATAAAAGTAGCCTGAGCTATCAGAAGTACTGAGTACATTGGGGGAGAACCTCATCTTTGCTCCAGCTACTGTGTGCTGAACAAAGGGGTCGCTACCACATAAAGGGTCTTTAGAAGCCCTGGGTCTGTCAGGTTCCCTGGTTTCCCCTGGTGCAAGAACTAAGGATGACAGCAACATCCTCTTTTCAGAGGAGTACCCCTACCTCCCCACCCTGTGCCAGCTTCAATACCAAGAGCATTTCAGGAGGGCAGGGCTAGGAAGGATGTGTGGGGGCAGAGCTACAGCATACAATGCTATGGGGCCTCTGAGTATAGCAATCACCTATAAACAGGTAAGAAATAGCTGGCAGAATTTTGGCAGCTTCTAATGGCTGTCTAACTTACACAAGGGCTCTTTTGGCCCTTTCGAGCAGCCCAGAATTGTGAGGGTATAAAGGCGGCTAGAGTGAGCTTAGTTCTCTTTCTCCTCCTCCCGGGCTGTGAGTTATGTCCTCTACTTCTGAAGATGCTGACCCCCTGCAGTTTTGCAGGACCATATGTTGGGCTGGCTCCTTGTAAATCAGCATTGCTCTACTAATATCAGTGGAACTCTAGCAACTTACACACATTGTGCCAAAAGCCTCAGTCTCTCTCTCTCTCTCTGTTTGTTTGTGTACATTGGTTGTTTCCTAACTCTGTTTGCATCCCACTTTTTCTAATACAACCATTTTAGCATAATTTTGTGTCTCCCTGTCAAAATGACTGCTTTCCTGCTTGATAGAATACAAAGCAACATTATGCAAAACGACCAGCTGTTTTTGCTGTGCTGTTTTCTCTTGCTAACATGGCATCGCGCTGGGCTTCAGACCTATTTTCTCTCCATACTGTTTTACAACCTAAATGGCTTTGCTTTCTGGGACAGCACAATAAACAAATGTCCATTAGCCATGCCACTAGCACTGCATCACTCGCATAAAACTCTGCTAGTTAATTTAGTTTCCATTGGTGGTAAGAACTGTCTGTTATCTAAGGAGGTTAAAGAAATGTACATTCTGTTAAAGGAAAGAAGTGTTGTCTTATTGGTAGATCAAGGGAGCCAGAAAGCTTTCTGGATTCTTTCCTGTCTAAGGCCAATGACTCACAGTTTGACTTTGGGCAAGTTATGATTTATGCTTCAGTCTCTAAAGTACCTTCCTCACCTTGGCGCTATGGTCTTCAGGAGGAAATTTTTCACAAAAGGCATAAAGCGCAGCAGGGTCCCCACGTTCCATGGAAAGTTAATGGGCACTAGGTACCTAATTCACATGTGCTTTTAAAAATTCTCCCTTGAGTATCTATTAAACGCTTTAGAACCCTAGAATGACAATGACATAGAAGTCCAAAATGCCATTGTATAAGGGTACATCTCAATGTTGCAAACTCCAATTTAATGAAATGCTGATGCAGCCTGCATGATAGAGCACTGGGCCAGATGTCAGGTGACCTGCTTTCTATGCCTGGATTTGCTCCTCAACTGCTCTGCGACCTTGAATAAATCACTGCTTTTAGTAGTGCCTCAGTTTCCCTATCTGTGAAATGCATCAGTGATATTGCCCTCCTTTGTAAAGCACCATAACATCTACTGATGAAAAATACCCTATTTGTTGTTAGCCTTCCCCAGCATAATAACATGCAATTGTACTTTCAAATTATTTTTATGAACCATGATTTTGATTTGCACATCCACTAAGACATTTCTAAAAATCAGGGTTTTCCAACTGGAAGTGTTGATTAAGTTGTCTAATTTTAATAAAATCCCCTAATCTTTAGTTCTGCAACTGAGCCAATAGAGTCCACTTGGAAGATATTGGAAGCAAATATGTGTCTCAGTGCTGCCTACAAAATTTTAGCTTTAGAAGAGCATGAAGCCATCTTCAAAGGTTCCTCAAGTCACTGTACCACTGTGCTCTGTTTCTTGAACTCGTTCTGTTCTTCTGGAGTCCAATCTCTCTGTTAGAGCTAATGGTTGTGCATTACGGGACTGATTCAAAGATCACTGAGGTCAAATTTTATTTATACTTTTGGCCCGTCCTATAATAAAAGGCTTTATGGTCAATGCCAACACCTTGAATTCAACCCAAAAAACAAATTGAAAGACAGCATGATGTCTTTTAAAATGTGAATGGATGCCAGATTGGATGAGATGGACCCTAAAATCAGTGTATAAGTGATATTTATTTATATGTTTATATATATGTATCTATATATTTATATGTTTATTTATATTCACTATTTTCTGCTACATCCAACTTTAAGGCAATATTCTGGGGTGATTTGGAGGTCTATGAGGTCTACACTAGGTAGTTATTTCGAAATAACTCCCCTTACTTAGAAATAACAAGTGGTGTGTCCACACCACAAAGCCCATTACTTCGAAATAAGAGGCTGTTATTTCGAAATAATAACTCCTGCTTTCCACAAGGAATAATGCTTATTTTAAAATTGGCTTAAGGGAAGTTGACTCCAACTACATTATTTACATAGATGGAGTTGTGTGCCTTAAGCTGACCTTCCAGGTCTTGTATAGTTGTGGCCTTTCAATTCTGAAGCTCACAGGCCAGCTACTAGTGAGCAGGTGCCAACATCAGAAAAACCAGATATTTCAATAATTAGCACCGCTTTTGGGAGTCTCAGGAAAGAAGCTGGCGAGTGAATACACCTGAAGACTCCTCTTGCTCCTAGAGATGGTCCCACCAAGTCAGCTTTGAGGTACAGCATCAAGGCAACATGGAAAACTTTAATATTAAACCTGATATGACTGTTTTTATATATTGGCATGTTGGGAAAGGACTTTCCAGAAATATCTCAAGGAAACCTAACCTCCTGACAATATTTGGTTGTATTACTGCAATTAAAAAAAACAAACAAATAAAACCTTGTAAAATTAAGATATATTTTTTTCTGATTAAAAGCTACCTACAATATCCACAGTAACTCTTGCATTGCTGTTCCACCCAATAATCACTGCTTTTTAAAGTTAGTCTAAGTAGAAAGCCAAAAAGAAGAAATGTGATTTGGATACTTGATCATAATGTACAAGGTGGGGATAAACCCACTTCTTCTGTGCCCACGATAGCTCATGACACCATCTACATGTTTTGTTAGTCTTTAAAAATGCTACCAGACTATTTGTTGTATTTTAATTTTATCCTGTACAGACTAACTCGGCTAACCCCTGAAGCTTTTGAACAGAACTGCATTCAGCCGTATGGAGTGGAAATCCATCAATTACACAAAGAAAGGTCATCTGAAGAAGTGGGCTGTGCCTATGAAAGCTCATACGACCATCTACATGTTTTGTTAGTCTTTAAAGTGCTACCAGACTAGTTGTTTTCTAAGTTTATCCTGTACAGACTAACTTGGCTACCCCCTGAAGGTGGAGATAATAGGTAATCACTATTGAAGACTATTCATAGGACTGAGGAAGAGCTGAAAAGTAGCCAGAAAGATTAGTCACACAAGTGCATGTCTCCGTGACAATAGTAAGTAAAAAGCAGATCCTGACTCCACTGAAGTCAATGGAAAAGGACCCATTAATTTACATGAGAATGGGATTTGGTTTTACTGAAGCAGACAATATTCATATGTGAATGTTGCAAACCTCCTGAAAGTATTCAAACAAGCTCATGTTCAGAAATAGGAGAATATTATCTAGGATTGAGAACACCCGATGATGAAAATGGATTTTAAGTCCAGAACTAATTACATTATTTGGAAAGAACGTAACTAGTTTGCAGTTACAGTGTGAAGAAAT